TTTTGTTACACACAAATTTTCTATTGTAGTGACTGATATAGATTTCGATGATATTAATTTGGAGAGATCTTACGGGCCGAACAGAAGTTATGCACAATCCAAATTGGCGAACATTTTGTTCACCAAGGAACTCGCTCGTAAATTAAAAGGTATGACAGAAATACCGTATTATTACGAATTGCGTTAACTCACATTTACATAATATTTGACAATCATTAATTGATTAAATGATTTGTTATATAATAAAGGAAAAATATACATCGAAGATAAACTCTTACATAAAGATTTCGATTTTTAGAGGCAGATATTCATGGAATAAACACATATTCTTTACATCCTGGTATGATTCCGACCAGACTATTCCGGTATTGGTATAGGGCATTATTTTCAGGTTTTACTTTCTGTTGTAATATGTTTACGCATTTGTTTTATAAAAATGCTGAACAAGGAGCGCAAACAACAATATATTGTTCCGTAGATGAAAAGATAGCCAATGAGACCGGACTTTATTATTCGTAAGAATATATTATATATTGTACAAAAAATTATTTTTATAAAGTAAATATAATAAATTCAATTCGCGTCATATCTCTTTATCCCTTTTTTATCTTTAGGAATTGCGGTGTTACCACTCCATATCGGAAGGCAAACAAACATCAATACCCGAAAAAATTGTGGAATGTATCCTGTCGTCTTTTACATCTGGATCCAGAAAAAGATTTTACTACAATTTTAGAAACCGTTTCACGTCAAATGGATTGAAAAAGTCCTTTATTCTCAAGAGAATCGTTAAGAAAATTTATAATAAATAGTGTTTATATTTATTTAATCTTTAATTCATACAATGTTTAATACAGCAAGAAGTAAAAAATATATTCTGATAAATGTATATCTAATAAATATTTTATGATTTAATTCATGTATTTAAATAGATTAAAAATAGATATTAATGGAATAGATGCTAAGGCCCGATTTCACAATATATGGTTACCTAAAGATTAAAGGTAACCAAGAAATTCATGAATATATTTCATTGATGAATCTGTTGGTAACCTTTAATCTTTAGGTAATCATTATATGAGCCGTTTATTTTGAAAGTGACCTAAGTCCATTTAAAAAAAATGTTGTTTATGACAGCTAACTTCAAGTTGTACACGCTATTACAGTCAACAATAAAAAATTGACAAATGGACTTAGGCCACTTTCAAAATAAACGGCTCATATTGTGAAAACAGGCACAAGACATGTTTTACAGTTTTTGTTCAGGGTACCTATCATAGAACAAGTCGGAATCGATTCCGATCGGAATTATTCAATTATTCCCTAGATTTCTATTGTGTTTTCTAGGGAAAGCGGAATAATTTCGATCGGAATCCATTCCGACATATTTCATGATAGGTACCCAGGTCGTATTTTATTTTATAAAAAATTAAGTTATTCTTTTATTATTTTTATTAATACACAGGGTATATCCCACGACCAACGTCTGTTTTTTCTTTTAAGAGCGGATTCTTTGGAATATTTTAAATTCTGATATGAAAATGTTGAGGCTATACTAGTTCTTTTAATTAATATCGATTATATAAAGTTTATTAGTTATGGACCTGACATTTCGCGCGGTGATAAGTAGACTGCGGAACTTTATGCAAAATACTTAACTGAATGTTTTGCATAAAATGCATATTTTGCAATTTTGTAAATTTACAGATGGCAATCTCAATCTTTTTACTTCACCTTTTAATAACTCTTTAACTATTGACTGCTAAAACTGTCCGATAGTTAATATTCAGTTAAGTATTTTGCATAAAGTTCCGCAGTCTAGTGATAAGTAGCAAAGGTGCACCACGAGGGTCCTTTCAACAACTTCAAGATTATCGTACAAAATCGTAATTTGATTACTGTCACCAGTGAGAGTAAGAAAAACTAATTAATTGCTCTATTAGCAATGACTCATACACTCGATAAATCTCATATTAATTTTTACTATCAACTTTTTAATTTGTAATTTGGACATGATGTACACAATATTTCCAATTGGGATTTTGCCTCTTGCTTTTTAATTACGTTGGCTCTACCTGTTCTCGTCATCAACGGTAGAATTGGTTTTGTTTTTTTGGATAAAATTTTTTCCGATTTGCTTGAAGACTTATGTCAAGAAAAAACGTTCTACAACTGTTCTATATTTTCGCATAATTTTAATTGCTTTAAAAAGAATTGGTAAGATGTAATCCTCGTAAAATTGTTGATTTATGTTAGTTATACGCTTATTTTATTTTTCTATACTTTTAAAAATGTAATTGCTTATATATTTCACGGCTGATAAAGACTAAATTAAACCGAAACGTACCGTGAGTTTTATATTTTTATATAAATTAATAAATAATTTATACTATCCGTCACTTTTTAAATTTGCTCGTTTTTAATATTTTGACATTTATTTGTTGTTGTCCTTTGCTTTTAAAAATATAAAAGTTGATATAAATTAGAGGAAGGTCACCGATACCGACATACCACTTTGTTTTTACACAATATTTCTTAAACAAAAGATAAAAATACAACTTCAAAAACATAAATACAAAGTAAAAAGTGTCTTCTATCAGATAGTATAAGAAATTTTTATAATACTGTTTGCAATTTTGCAATAATTAAGTTTTTCGTAAGTTATGCAAAAATGAGCGTCTGACGAAATGAGCTCCAAAACTGACATAGTAGGCAATAATACCAACATTCCTATTCTATAAATAAAAATATGTCCTATTCTGTAAAGAAAACTAATTTATGAAACTATAAACATTTAAAATAACATATTATCAATAATACAGTCACTATTATTTTAATTACGCAATTTGCAAAAGAACACCGTAAGAATTTTCTTCTCGGATTCATAGAATTGGTTTTTAGCTGATTTGGTTGATTGATAGAAATAAGCCACAAATATATGAATTATGAGTTTGTACTTCTTTAATTTGCTAAACAGATCATGATTTTATTAATATTAATAAAGTGTAGTAATTAGTTTCTGAGAAATAAGGGGGTGTCACTTTAGGAGACCTATGTCAGTATCGGCGATTTTCCTCTATATCAAAATACATGTTTATGCCATTAAAATTCATAAATAGAACAAATCGGTATACATAATTTTAAGATTAAACGAACTTACTATAAGTGAAGTTCGATCTCAATTATGCCTTGTCTCTTCCGGATGGACGACTATGGCTGGG